CGGGCCGGGGGTCGGCGGGGCGCGGTCCGGAGGGATCCCCGGGGTTTGGGGTTTTGGGGGGGGAGAATGGGGGTCTCCGGGGCCGCGCTGACCCCGATCTCATTCGCAGGGCCCGGCGATATGGCCGTCACCTAGGCCCGGCGGGGACCAGCGGGGCCGCCGGGATGGAGCAGCCCCGGTACCGGGGAGACCCCGCCGGGGATGGCGAAGGGGGCGGCCGCCCGGCGGAGGACAGCGCTGCCTGGAACGGGAGCTGCGGCCGGCCACCGGTCACCATCCCAGAGGACAACGACGACGACCACGACCTGCCCTTCCTGAGCCCCGAGGGTCCCCGGTGCTCCTGCCGCTGCCGGGGGGAACCGGCCGCCCCCCCCAACCCCGCGGCCGAGCGGCAGGACGGATCCTGCAGCCTCACCTGCCGTAACCGGGCCGCCGCTGGCCCGGTGCTGCCGCCGGCCCGTGGGCAGGGAGATGGGGAGGAGGACGAAGCTGGCGAGGACGGCGCGGGGAAGGGGAGCCGGAGGACACGGAGGCGTCAGAGGCATCGCTCGACCCCCAAGGAGAAGGAGGACGGCGGACGGCGCGAGGGCGGTGCGGGCAAGCGGCACCGACCATCACGGAAGAGGAGCCGCGGGGACGGGACCGAGGCGCCGGCAGAGGAACCGGCCAGCTACCAGGGTCTGCTGGCAGCGGCGCTGGCCCAGGCGCGCAGGCTGGGCGCGGAGGCCGGCGGATGGCTGCTCTGCTCCTGCTGCCGCCTCGGCGGCCACGACCTGGGCTCGGCACAGGCCAGCGTACGGAACTGGGGCCGGCGGGTGGGCCAGCAGGCCCGGAGCGGCTCCCTGAGGGTGGCCCGGTGGCTACAGGCCGGCACGGGGTTCTTCCTCCGCCTGCTCTGGATGCTCTGCGCGCTCCTCGTCCTCCTCCTCGTGCTGCTCCTGGGCAGCTTGCGGCTCTGCTGGCGCGTGGGTGCCGGCGCGCTGGTTGCCGGCGCGGATCAGCTGGGCAGGAGCCAGCGGGTGGCCCGGTTCCTCACGCTTTTGGACGCAGCCGTGTTCCGTAGGACGTGGGGGCTCCTCGGGGAGAGCCGGATGTGCCGGCACCTCTGGGACTGGCTGCAGAGACGGCGAGCTCCCCCCTGGGCGCCCGGGGCGGGTCGGACAGGGGGACTGGGGGATGCGGCGTCTGTTGGCGACGGGGGGGCTCCCGCCGCCGGCTGCGCGGAGGAGGTGAGCCGCTTGCTGGCCATGGCAGAGGTGCCCGAGGAGGAGCTGAACCCCTTCCAGGTGCTGGGCGTGGAGGCGACGGCGTCGGACGCCGAGCTGAAGAAAGCCTATCGCCGGCTGGCGGTGCTGGTGCGTGGGTGGGCAGGGGGTGTCCGTCCCCCCCCCTACCCTGAGACACGGCAGTGGCTGAGCTTTTCCGCTTTTTCCAGGTCCACCCGGACAAGAACGAGCACCCGAGGGCAGAGGCAGCGTTCAAGGTGCTGCGAGCGGCCTGGGACATGGTCAGCAGCCCGGAGAGGAGGAAGGAGTACGAGATGTGAGTGGGCGATGCTGGGGAATGGGGAGGGTTTGGGGGTGCCGGGGCTGACCCCCTTTCTCCCCACTACCCCCAGCAAGCGGATGGCGGAGAGTGAGCTGACGAGGTCCATGAGCGAGTTCCTGAGCCGGCTGCAGGACGACCTGAAGGAAGCCATGAACACCATGATGTGCAGCAAGTGCCAGGGGAAGCACAAGTAAGTCTCGAAGCCCCGGTGGCGTGGTGCCGGCGTGCCTGCAGGGTCCCAAAGTTGGGGGGTGGGGGGGGAGAGGGGTTGGAAATGCCCGCTGTCTCCGCAGGAGGTTTGAGATGGACCGAGACCCCCTCAGTGCCCGCTACTGTGCCGAGTGTGGCGGGCTGCACCCTGCCGAGGAGGGTGACTTCTGGGCCGAATCCAGCCTGCTGGGGCTGAAGATCACCTACTTCGCCATGATGGACGGGAAAATCTACGACATCACGGGTGGGTGCCGCTTTCCGGAATCCCCGGATGGAGGGTGTGCCGCCGGCTCGTTGCCCCTTCGCCGGGGCGGTGTGACCGGCGGCTGCATGTCTTTCGGCAGAGTGGGCCGGCTGCCAGCGCGTGGGGATCAACCCGGACACCCACCGCGTCCCCTACCACATCTCCTTTGGCTCGAGGAGCTCCGGGCCGGGCGGGCGGCAGAGGTGATGGGAAAGGGGCCTGACCCCCATCCTGGGGAAGGGGGGAGACATGGGATGACGGGGGGGGGGGGGGGGCCCCGGCCTGGGGGGAGGCCCCCCCCCCCACCC